GCTGAGGTACCCTCTATTTCACTAACAGCTACAGAGGTAGGGGACCTTATAGACTGGTCCAGGGAGCAACCCCATATGACAGGTGGAGCTGGGACAGAGGTCTCTCCACCGGCCTTGGATCCTGGTCTTGGGTCCTGGGTGGGTGAAGGACGGCGAGACCCTGGTGCAGCTGCATCGCTGGAAGTGGGGTCTGCAGTGCTTATGGTGTCTGGAGTTCTGGAATTCCTTGGTGAGCAATAGGAGCATCAATTGGCAGAGGCACTCGCTCTGAGTGCTTGGCGGTCCGTCACATCTGAGTTTATTTTGCAGTAAAATCACAGTGGACAAAAAAATTTGTAGAAACCATTACATCTCACTTAAGCACTGATTACACATAAAACAGAGAAATATATTTATCCTCTAGATGAGATTCCCTGGCTTGCGTGCTTCATATACACTGATGAAAAATCCAAAACCCTGCAAGATGTGCAGCTACATACATAGGAAATACACAAGTACATTTAGCAGCATTTGCACTTATCTTCATTATGAAAATATAAGCAAAATGGTGAAAAACACTAAAGAACAAAAGTGGTTGAACAATCGCTATGGGTTTGCCTTTTTTCCATTTGGAAGAGTGCAGGGCAATTTTTTATGACCTAATTAGGTGATTATGAAAAGTGAAAAATTTAAGGTCCTAATATTTCATTGTGTGCTCCCACTGAAATTACCCAAAACATTAGTACTGTGGTGTATGATTTAGAAGAATAGATGCTGATTTTGTGTGTGTGTAGCTATCAAAAAGAAATAAAATGAATATAGATGCTACTGCAAACATGGAAAAAAGTTTGTGCTCATTCAAAATAAAGACAAAAATTGGTATATATGAAAAACCTATACCTTAAGTGGAGCGCTATGAAAATTTTGGGGTTTCCCCTCGAGGTCTTGATCGAACCATGCACGTCAAGTGGATATATATAGAAAATACAACATAGTGTAGATTGTAATACACTGTGATAATTCAATTAAGTAGCAGAATAGATCACTCACATTTCAAAGAGCCTATAATATCTGCTCAGTAAACAGGACTTGTATGCTTTTTAGGGCAGCTTCCCACCACTATTTTCCGTTGATGTTCCCTCTGAAAAGATAGAAATTGTAGAAGCATCCAATGTGTAGTATAGTTGTTAAAATACCATGAATTGATCAAAATAGATATTGAGCTCACCTTTTTCAGAGCCTTAAGGTCCTGGCTCTGAGGGTAACAGGCTTTGTGCCAATATAAAGGGGATGGCACTTCCCCCACTGAAGATTCCTGAGGCTTCAGTAGACTTATTAAAGTGCTAATCTATTTATTATTCAAGAAATATTTAAAATAAATAATAAAATAGCCAAATAAAAATTACACTAGTAAAATTAAAAGTCCTGATGGCTATCAAGACTTTTAATTTTACTAGTGTAATTTTTATTTGTAAGGTATAGTTTTTTGTATACCAATTTTTGTCTTTCTGTAAAATTGTGTGTGGTGCAAAGGGTAATCCATACTAGTGTACAGAGGTGCTATACACAGTTTTCACTATAAGCACTTTTTTCTAACACACATTCTCCCAAAAGGAGATTTTGGTTTCATTCAAAATAAACTTTAGTTATTTTGACCTTTAATTCACACTCTTCCTTCAAGCGTCTTTAAATCTCATAGCCTAACAAAGTAGTTTCTTGGTATGCGGATGGTAGCATTAGAAGCGTGGCGTGTGTAATTTGTAATATGAATAACACTGTTGTTTATTTGTCTTTCCCAAAGTAAAAAAAAAACACATATCCTTTTTTTTTTTTAACCAAGGATGAAACAGGACAGTTAACTTAAGTACCAAATCACTAGAGTAATTAAAAAGCTGAATTTTCCCAGGCAAAATCCCAGATTGAACCCAATATAACTTGCATTTCATTTATGAACTTAAAACTAAATTTAAATGATAGTAGAATATTCTTCAAACATTAAATTAAACAATTAATTGAACAAGTGCTCTTAATAATATTTTTTTAAAAAGCATATATTTTTTTTATTACATCCATATTTTCCATAGTATAGTCTTCTTGGCTCTAGCTAGTCGATAAAACCATTCTGTAATTGTGTGTCAGATATGTTTGTTTAGATAATTGTTATAGATTGTAATGTAATGAGATGCCAAAACATTAAAAAGAAATGTAAACAGTTATGTCTGTCTTGTTTTACAAACAAACCATTAACCTGCACACAAAGCATGACATTTTTATTACAAATAATAAATTGCTTGTGTACGTCAAGTCATCTTGCCATTGTAAAATATATGTATATACCTGGTCTTTAAGATTACAGAATCATAAAAAAAAAAAAAAAAGCAAATATGTAAAAATACAGAATATAAACAGCATTTTCAATATACTGTATGTATATATATATATATATTTATATAATTATTTTTTTTAAAAGTTATTCAGTTGGATATCCAAAATTTGTTACATTTGTAATTTTTGTCAGTTTCTTAAACCTCACATAAACAAGCTTCCACTGTTAGAACATAAAACATATTTAGCAATCTAAATCAGGACTTATTCTTTATTTCTGTTCCATGTATACGAATAAAACATTAATAAGACATGGTCTGTGCAACCGGTTGTGTCTCCCCTTACCCTATACCATAAGTCTTAAAAGAGAAAAGAATAATTAGACTTTAAATTCATCATTATATGAGCTCATCCAAGGTTCCCATAATTTTATGTTTGTGCCATATCTTTGAAAAGCCGAAAAGTAGCCTTTTTGAACTTTTTTTTTTTTTTGTATACTTTAGGCCACCGAAAGCCTGTTACTCTTACTGTTAGCTTCAGAATACTAAAGCAAAGTCTATAGATAATAGCCATTTTATTATATGACCTCTTTAAAAGAGTTCTACAGATGGAAGTTTAAACCCCTCTTTAATGCATTATAAAAAAAATATTTTAAAAGTAATTGTGTTTTTTATAAAAGTATAAAAACTATATTATAGTCACTGTACGCTTACATGCCTTACACTTTGCTGTTTAAACTTCCAATTCCAACTTGTTTCAGATTTCAGAAAATGCGTATCAGAATGTTGCTCTTACATGCTGCAAAATATATATTTTTTTAAATAAGTAGAATTTAAAAATTATACGCTCACAAGACTGCCATAAAGCTGCATAGGCTGGCCCACTCAGAGTTGCCAGTGCATCGTGCATTATTGAGAGCTCTTTGTACAATGAAATTACTTTTTGCTGATCGACATGCACTGTTCGTACTGGGATAATTCTCTGGTGGTCACAGATACGGGGCTCAGGAACAATCCCATGGTGCTATACTTATGGTATGTAAGATGCAATTACAGTAGGACTCCCTATCTCTACATCCCCAGTAAGCAGGTTCACATATGGTAATTTAGAAAAATAAATCTAATTTGTACAATGTAACATGGAATGATTTTGGCATCTGGAATGTCGATGGAAGCAGGTGCATTTTATACCTTCACTTCACTCATTAAACCTGAGTAAACGACTCAATATTGATCACCAACTCTATGGTGACAATTGCTCTCTAAAGGTGGTTCTAAAATTCTGCTTAGAGTCTGCCATTAACTGGTCATCATGTGTTGTTTATGAAACATGTGCTGGTGTTGCTATATATAAATGCAAAAAAAGAATAAAAAAAATAGAGGGCCATTTAATCCATAAAACTGGAAATATCCAAATTTAGAAACTTCCTTCTAGCACTGTTTGGGATAGAACTACAGACATCTGATAATGTTTAAAGAATATCAGTTGCAAAATCATTAAACTATACTGTGACCAGGCAGGATTCGTCAGAGACAGAGACGCTACTGATAACATCCGTAGAGTCCTGAACCTAATCCATAGGATCAACTCAAAAAAATTCCAAGGCTGCCTTTTTGGCTTTAGACGCCAAAAGGCATTCGATAGGCTGGATTGGCCGTTTATGGATATAGATCTACAACAATTTGGCATGATAGGTAGTTTCAGAGACAGTATCATGACCCTATATACAAATCCATCAGCAAAGATTATTGGTCCAGCTATTAAATCTGAATACTTTTATATTAAAATGGAATACAGCAGGGTTGCCCACTGGTTCCCATGCTTTATATTCTGGCTATGGAACCTTTACCAGCCCTAATCAGACAAAAAGTAGTCTAGAGCATCCTGGTCGGCCAAACGGAGCATAAGATCATCCTATTTGCTGATGATGCCCTTCTGACTCTGACAATCTCCCTTGAGTCCGTACCGGCAGCCCTGAAACTGACGGAATATGGCAAATTTTCCAACTTTAAAATTTAATATAACTAAGACACAGATACAGACTTTTGGGCTTCATACCTCAGAGACAAATCAGCTTAGTGATTGCTAAGAGTTTAATTGGGACCGCAGATTTATTGACTATCCAGGGGTGAAGATCACTCAATCCTTTGACGATCTGATCAGTACAAATTATTTAAGGCTCTTAGAAGATTTTAGAACATATTTTAAGAAAGGTAATAAGGTCGAGCTATCTTGATTGGGCAGAATTGAATCAATAAAAGCTTAATTGCTCCCAAAGATAATGTATTTATTCAGAACGATTCCACTGAGAGTCAGAAATCGCTGCTTGAAAGCAGCTTAAGATTTTACAACTAAGTTTATATGGGTCAAAAAGAAACCCAGAATTTCTCCAAAGATTCTTAAGAAATCAGGAAGAAATTGAGGCTTGGGATTTCCAGATGTACATGCGTTACATGAAGACTGCATGTTATCCCATTATCTAGCCTGGGATAAAAATAACAATACTAACTTATGGAAAGGAATTGAAATCCTAGAGTTTAGAGCCGACTTTCTTTACGATTGTTTCTGGATAGATAAAAGATGCTTATTGGATAAGATTACAAAAAATCATATTATAAAGGTGACTCTGAGTACAGTCAAAATCATAAGGAAAAAATGTAATCAAATAAATGGAAGTGTCCTTTCTTTTCCATTAGAACAGGGGTGTCAAACATGCGCCCACCCCAGATGTTGCCGAACTACAACTCCCATGATTCCCTGGCTATCTGTTTCATTGAAAGAATCATGGGAGTTGTAGTTCAGCAACATCTGGGGGGCCGCATGTTTGACACCCCTGCTTTAGAACTACAGGAAATTATTATAAGAGACCTGGATTTGAGTAGCTGGAGAAGATGCGGTATCAGCCAGATTTTGAACATCTTCTCTAAGGGCAGCATAATTCCTTTCCACCTATTACAGTCTATATATTCTCTTGCTCCAGGGGATGTGTTTACATACCTGAGACTAAAAAACTACTTCTCTACTAAACAAATTTTAGACCATAATGATACTACTGATTTCTTAGAGAATCACAACCCTCAGAAGAGAATACCCTGTTCACTTAAATTTCCCGGTATTAACGATACATTTGTTAAAGAGTCTCCAATTTTTAAATGGGAACTAGATTTTTAAAATACTTTAAGATACACACTTGGAAACAGAATATCAAATGCGTCAAACAGCATATACATTGCGTAAATTTGATTGAGGTGTACTTTAAAGTTTTATACAGGTGGTACATGGTTCCAACAAAATTAAATAAAATATGTAATGACTATTCTGACCAATGTTGGAGATGTAGTAATGCTAAGGGTTCCTGTCGCGAAAATAACCTTGCGCTGGATTTTGGAGAGGTCTGCTTGACAGCCTCTTGCCCTGTGACTATGGCCCCTGGGGTGTATTGCCATTTAAAAACTCTATTTGTGAATATTGGGACTTAACCCAATGCCCCTTTCAAACATGTGGCGGCAGCCATCTTAAATTGTCCAGCAGTGTTTTGTTGAGTTTATGGAACTGTTTTGGGCATGGGACCATGTGCACGGTGGGGCAAAAAATAGACTTCGAGGAAATTCCTTAACCCCGATATGTTGTTTACCCAGATCCGGGCTATCAGGGGATGTGACTTTGTGGGGATATGTTGTATTTTGGAGTACTTTTGGGGTTTGTAAAAATTTATGTTTTTTATGCTTAGAGTTAATTGAGTTGTCCATTGTCTTCGTTAATTATATCACAAGCAGAGAGGGGAGGGTTTGTGTACATTATCTTGGAGTGTCTAGCTGTACAAGACTGTTTTCATTGGTTTTGTGAATTTGTGTCCTGTGCTCCACAAGGTCCACGTGGGTGGTAACTTTGTGGGGAAAACTGTATAAAAGACAATAAACCCTTAGATCTGCTGAGTTCCTGTTTTACCCTCATCATAGAGCCTTGTCTTATGTGTGAGGGAAAAGGCTGCATCTACACTGGGGGATTGCTATAATCACTTTTAAGAGCTTGTTCCTGCTACACTCTCTGGGCTAGGAGAGGCCTACCAACTGGGAGCTGGATCCTGGTTTTGGGTCCAGGGTGAGTGGAGGACGGCGAGACGACCCAGCTGAGGTGCCCCCTATTTCACTAACAGCTGCAGAGGTAGGGGACCTTATAGACTGGTCCTGGGTGGAACCCCATATGGCAGGTGGAGCTGGGACCGAAGTCTCTCCACCGGCCTTACAGGGATGCTGGGCATTCGACACAAATCCCAATGGCAGCTGGAGGTTCAGGGAGTAAGGACAGTGAGTCCTGCTTCCCAGCGGAAGTATACTTTGCAGGGAGAGGAGACAACCAGTCTCTCTCCCCAGTGGCAGACAGAGTTACAGGGAGAAGAGAGCATCGTCCTTCCTTCCCAGCGGCAGGGTGAGTAACAGGAAGAGGAGAGCGTCCTCCCTCCCCAACAGCAGTGTACCTTGCAGGGAGAGGAGACAACCGGTCTCTCTCCCCAACCACAGGGGGACAGCACCCCTAACCCTGATGGTGTAGATGGGACCGCGGTCTATGCATCAGACCTAGAGGGATGCTGGACGGCCTGTCCAGATCCCCAACCAACCCCGCAGGAATGCCAGGAGGAGAAGGTAAGCGATCCCTCCTCTCCACAGCAGATCCGCAACCAGGTCCTGGGGATAGGATTCCCTGACCCCATCCCAGCTGAAGAGCTGGCATCTGGGCAGAGGGCAGTCGGCCCCTGCCCTCCCTTATCCCCTTGTCTAGAGTCTGACTCCCTACAGGCTACCCCCAGAGAAGCGCTGGCATCCGGCAGAGCGCCGCTGGCCTCTGCCCTACCTGTCCCTTTGTTAAAGGGCAGGACTGCGCACCCGTTTACCCACCTGAAGCGCTGGCACCAGGGCAGAGCACAGCTTATCTCTGCCCACGAAGTAACCTCCACTCCAAGCCAGAGAGCAACCCAGAGACCAGGAGTACCAGATACCAACACAACCTTGATGAACTCACTGGACAGAGACAGGCTACCAAATTCACCAGGTCCAGTATTTTGTTGTGGGTGGGCTGCCAGACTAACTCAGGTATCTAGTTAGTCTTCCCTGGGAGGGGGATATATATGGCAAAAGTAACCTCGTGACTGAGTTTTGGAAAGGTCTGCTTGCCAGCTTCTTGCCCTGTGACTATGGCCCCTGGGGTGTATTGCCGTTTAAAAACTCTATTTGTGCGTATTGGGACTTAACCCAATGCCCCTTTCAAACGTGGTGGCGGCCATCTTAAATTGTCCAGCAGTGTTTTGTCGTCGGGTGTATGGAACTGTTTTGGGCATGGGACCATGTGCACGGTGGGGCAAAAAAGGGACTTCAAGGAAATTCCTGAACTCCTGAACCGATCTGGGTGATTTTCCGATATGTTGTTAACCCAGATCCTGGCTATCAGGGGATGTGACTTTTGTGGGGATATGTTGTATTTTGGGGTACTTTTTGGGTTTGTAAAAATGTATGTTTTTTCTGCTTAGAATTAATTGAGTTAGTCCATTGTCTTCGTTAATTATATCACAAGCAGAGGGGGAATGTCTAGCTGTACAAGATTGTTTTCATTGGTTTTGTGACTTTGTGTCCGGTGCGCCACAAGCTCCAAAACTGTATAAAAGACAATAAACATTCAGATCTACTGAGTTCCTGTTTTACCCTCAACATAGAGCCTCGTCTCATGTGTGGGGGAATTGCTATACTCTGTATACGCCCTTGGGCTATAATCACTAAGCTCTTTTTTAAGAGCTTGTTCCTGCTACACTCTCTGGACTAGGAGAGGCCTACCCACTGGGAGCTTGGTCCTGATTTTGGGTCCAGGGTGGGTGGAGAACGGCGAGACCCCAACCAAGCTGCGGCGGTTCGTGGGATCTGTGGTGCTTATGGTGTCTGGTGCGGTGCTGATGGTCCTTGGTAAGCACTAGGAGCATCGATTGACGGAGGGTCTGTTACAGATCCCATCTCCTCTTTGAAATTTTGGAAAAAGAGATACTATTCACTCCGCAGCTTTTTCTTCTCCATTTAGACTTTCTCCAAATGGACAAACACTTGCTTAATTTAATGATCCATATTATGCTGGTAGTAAAAATATGTATAGCCAGAAACTAGAAAAATCAAGGGTACCAAAACTGGCAAGAAATCACAACCCAAATAAATTACCAGTGTTCCATGGAGAAAGGTGACTATTCGATGAATAGCCAACTGAATCTATTTAAAACAAAATGGGATAAATGGCAAACATCTTCCTATAATAATACGATCAAGAAATTTAAACAAGATCATTAAACTGTGAACAATACGAGTAATTGAATCTAAGTGTTAATCCCTGAACCACATCTTCTTACCCCGCACCAGAATGATTGATTGAATGGAGTCTGAATGAGGTCTGGCATGCTTGATGATAAAACATTAAATTGAAAATGTTTCTGATATATTGTGACTGCTGTAAAATATTTTTTTTTGTTTTCTATATACACCATACTTCAATAAAGAGATATATTTAAAAAATATATATTGTGTGTATGTGTGTGTGTATGTATATATATATGTTTTAAGGCCATTTGGCCTGTATTTGTGGGAGGGGCTTAAATTAATTCACTCCCCTATATAAGGGACACCCCTTACCTGACTCATATCGCTTGAGGTCAGCATCAGAATGATTTCCACTTCCGGGTCATCCAGACGCCATTTTACCTGATTACTCCATGAGGTTTTCTAAGCTGAGCTGTGTCAGGAATTCAGCCACAGGCTTTTCCGGCCTTCCACCTTCTTTCTTCAATCTATCGCTGTGGATGGTGTCCAAGTGACTCACAAACTGTAAGTCGACCTACCCGTTACGCCAGGCATCAGTCCCACGGCACCATGCATGGGTCAGGTCCTCACTTTACGGCTGCATTTGGTCTAAATCTGTTCTAAAACCATTGGATGTTCATGCATATCATTCGTTTAAACTCACTTGTTTATATCTGTCACTGGCTTATTTCGAGCATTAGCATACTCCCAAACGGGAACACATTCTGTTTCAATTGCCTAAACATACTAGGCAATTCTGTGCGTGCATTTCAAATCTCACTGCTCGTTTCGTTTTGTTTCCCTGACATACCAGGCTCACGGTTCGTGCAATTTTCTACCAAATGGGTACTAGTTCATGCATTTACTATTGTACTACACACACGTTTCGTGTGTTTACAACCCATGAACAGAACTTTGGTTTGTTACAATGACTGTTATTAAGCTATTATGTTCACTTATTGTATATTGTCAAACGGGCACTGTTTGTTTCACAACTATAATGCTGGGGCATAGCTCACAAACAATGTTTCACATAAACCACACTGACCCCTACAGGTCACTCTCAAAATCTCATGTTAACCTTGCATTTGGATTAACCCCTTAAGGACCAAACTCTGGAATAAATGATATGTCACACATGTCATGTATCCTTCAGGGGTTAAAGGGTATTTTACCATACAATCAGCATTTCTGACCCCTACTGGTCAACAGCAAAACTGTCTTCACATGTCATATACAATTACCAGCCAATATAAATTACACATAAGATTGTTTTAAACATAACCATAAACCATGAATTAAACTCCAACACGGGCTCAACTTCAGGTTTAATTCACAATAATTTACATTTCACATTAAGACTAACAGTGGTTCTATCAACACTGCCACCTACAGGTCTGTCAAGTACATTGACAATTTTCATGGGGTTTTACAAACACCAAAACATTGACCCCTATAGGTCAACAGACAAACAACATTTCACATACCAATCAGTATCAACTACACTGC